AAAAAAATTTTAAATTTTTATGTTGTATAGATTGTTTTGAGACAACATTTAAATAAATTTATATGTCATTCCCTTAAAAGTATTGTTCTTTATTGGTTTGTAATGGGTGATACTTCTAAAATTATTTAAAAGCTAAAAAAACAATTATTGTTGATGCATTATGTTTATGTTGAATGTGGGCCAGAKAGTCCTTTTAACACATCCGACTTCAAAGGGTAATTGTTAGTCAATACAGTTGATTAATGAATAACTGTTGCCTAGGTATTAAAGGTTTACAGRCATTTTACAGAACAGTTCACTCTTATCCTAAATAGAGCATACCACATAATATATTTAAAAGTAAAATAATACCTAATATATTTAAGTTGTAATTATTGTTCTAACAGGTTCTAGGAATTTCCAAACATCTACATGTAATGAAACCACAATTATTTCTTGCAAATGTTATATTACCGCTTCTGAACCCTTCACCAAATTATGATCATATGTTGTATTTGGTTACTTTAACTAAAGTATGCATACTTTCTTTGTAGTAAAAAATTAATTATTTTAAACATATCATTTTTGTAGATGRTCCTGAATGAATGTCATATAATGACACTTCCCTACATGGAAATCTGGGATAGACTACTTATTCAATTGGCTAAAATACTGGATGATGCACGTTGGGCCATWACTAATTTTACAATTGAAAGAGTCCAAATATGTGAAAATGTGATTGTTACTATACAGCCTCTTTTGCAATATGCTTCGTATATAGATGATGATTGTATGTATGAATATTATTATATGTAATGTTATCTTCAAGATGTTAATTTAAAAATTCAATAATCCACATTTTTTGTATAATATAAATTTTTAAATGTTTCATAGTTAAGGCAGAATTATTGGAAAATATCAAACAAGAATTATCAAGCTTACATTTAATGACTCGTTCTTATTTCTTATCTTTGTGGACAACCGAATATATTACAATAGATGGAATGGATGAACATTTGATCATGACCATTCAATCACAGAATCATATTTCATTTTCTAATCTGAATAGATCATCATCTCAAAGAGCTCAAGAAGAATTTATTTTTGGCCTTGCAACAGTAATTTTTTTGTTTAACAATTTGCTATATTAGCTGTTGGGCTTAAAATAATTATTAAATATAATAACTAAATTAAAAACAATCAATCAAAGCTAAATTTGATTTGTACCTAAATAATATTTAAATTATATGGATAGTTTTTCTTCCTCATAAATAGTGGACAAGATTTTACATCTTTTCTTGAGACCATGAAGTATAGTTTAAGCAAAATTTCTCACTATTTCATTTAACAAAAAATACCTATAAAGATTTTATTTTGTATAAAAATTCATATTTAAACATTAGAAAATATTTTAAATACAATGACATGCTTTAAAAATGTTTCTACTATTTGAACTAAAAACTAAAATGACACTAAAAAAAATATAAAATAAACGAAAYGGATATATTAATGTTTTAAATTTTAATACACCACTTGTATAAGATTAATATTAGTGCATCTATTTATTCTGTAGAAAATTGTTTCCATTTTTTAAATTTGGAATGAAATGAGTTTATTCAATTAGCTCTTTTGATTTGTAACAGTTTTTTTACACATTTAATTTATTAAAAAWTTTTTTTTAGTTATTATTCTTGTATTCCTAAAGTTATGCTTAAATTTTAACAYTWAAATCATAATATAGAATAAGTGTTAAAGAATATTAAAAGAATATTTCACAATTTATACATAAAAATCCGTTCTCACTGATGAGTTTTATTTTATTTTATTTTATTTTCATGGTTACTAATTAGTAATCTCATACTTATGTATTTAAAATAAGATAAATATTTTTAGTTTTTTCAATAGCCATTTAATGTAACTTTATTAATATATAGAAGTTCAAGACTTTCTATAATCACTAGGGCTATGATTTATATGCATTGGTATGTTTCTTTTACTAAGTCTAACTTTGTAGATATGTTACTGATTTCTATATATTGCTGAACCTTTTGATTAAATAAAAAATTTAGAAGATGGAGAATTAACCATTATTTCATTATATTTCAGCATATTTTAACAACAACTAAAGTGCTTATTTTATTTTGTGTATAAATTCTATCACTAACTAATCGCATTTTTAAAACTTATTTTTTATTTTGTACGATATGTATASAATAATATGTTTTTAAAAACGAAAGTAAAAATGTTTAAATATGATGTAYTTTTTTTTAAACAATTAAAAATAGCCAATTTGTAAATCTGGTTATACAAAATTTTGATTGGAATCTCATTATTTTTCTCAAATAAATTTTATTTAATTTTAAAAAACATTTTAAATTCAAAA